ATGCAAAGGCAGCTACAACAGTTGCAATTCATAGGCAGTTATGAGAGCCTAGCAAATGGACACGTGGCAGCACAACATAGCCATTGGAAGCCATATAAAAGCTGGGAATTCAAAGGAGAAAAGATCTTCAACCAAAGTTACAACTCATGTGGAATTAGGAGTAGCATAACTTAATTAGGAGTAGTTTTTGCATTTAGGAGTAGTCTGTTTGTAATTCGGTCTTTGTAACCAAGTTTGGCTCTATCGATTGTTGTGCCTTTTGAACTTGTAATTTAATTCTTGTAATTAAGTGACAAGTTTACTTGTTCTTCAATTGAATTTCAGTTTATTTGCACTTGTTTCTTCACATTGCAACCTCCAAAGAAGTCTTTGAAGCTGTCAAGGCATAGGACACCAACCACATTGCCTAATTGAATTTCTGTTTGTGAAAATTGGTTTTCTCTGTCGACTTTTTCCTGTCGATTTGACCCAAGCCAGATTTTTGCTAACACATACTAAGAAGACTTCCCGCTTAGAGAAATGAACCCACAACAGGGGCTTATATTTAAAGTTCTATGGAGAAGTGAACCCACAACACTTTTTAACCCTTCAAGAATGGCTAAGAAGAAGGAGCTTGAAGTTAACATTTCCATTGGGGAAATGAAGCAAACCAACAAAGGGAAAGCAAAAAGATAGAATTTCGTAGCAGCAGGGGTTGTTTTGAAATTAGATAACTATTGCAACATTTTATCTGAAATCCAATAACTAATCAATTTGAAAATAAAACTCATCCTACAACCTCCTTCCACCCTTTTGGAGTTTTAAATCCTAAACCCATTAGCCTTTCACAAACAAAACCATTTTTTATTTTTATTTTTTTGGTAAAAGCTTCATTAGACATCAATACTCAAATTGGAAACACAACTTTTCCTTATAAATATAGGTGTCACTTTATGACTAAACTCTCTAACACCATTGGTTAACACCACCATCGGTTGATATTACCCCCTTTCGAGTTGAAGGTTAACACCACCCTTGGTTAATACCAGCCCTTATTTGGGTTGTTTGTTAACACCACCTTTCCTTCTCTTATGTGAGCATGTTTGGATTGTATCCCTTGTATGATAAAGACTTAGGACCAGTTGAAGTGGTTGAAGATGAGGTCAAGTCTTAAGGGAAAAGCTTAACCAATGAAGAGTTCAAGCACATCATAGGAGGGATTCAAGCAGATAGATCAGGAATTGGCCAAATCAAGCATGATGAAGAGAAAAAAAAAGGCTTGCGATTGAAGAGATGATAGAAAATTAGAAAGATGCAGATGTAGACATGTAAAGAAGACAGGCAGAATGAGACAGCCACAACCCTTGTAATTAGGTCTACTTTTTCCAGACTTTTTAATTTCTTTCTTGCAAGTAGGTTTAATTTTAAGTCAATGCCTTTTTGTTCATAGGCAGAATGTTTAATAGACAATAGCCCTCTGAGTTACAAAGAGGTGCAGTTAGAGCATTTGAGAGTTGCTCCTGCTAAGTTGGATAACCTTAAGGCAGATGTTCAAGATCAGTTAGAGGAATTCAACTTAGGCACTAAGGCCTGTAAAAGGCCAATTTATGTAAATGCTAGTTTATCTAATAAAAGTAAAGGCAAGTTGGTTGGCTTGATGTATGAGTATGTGGATTGCTTTGCTTGTAGTTATGAGGAAATGCCTGGTTTGGAAAGAGTATTAGTAGAATACAGGTTATCAATAAAAGATAACTTCACTCCATATAAACAACCTCCAAGAAGAATAATGAAGTCACTTTCCTAGTCAAAGAAGAAATTGAGAGGTAATTGAAGGTAGGTTTTATCATGACAGCCAGGTATGTGGAATGGTTGTCTAATATTGTACTTGTCATTAAGAAAAATGGGAAATTGAGGGTTTGTATAGATTTCAGGAACTTAAATCTAGCAACCCCAAATGATGAGTATCCTGTGCCAATGGCTGATTTATTAGTTGATTCAACAACCAAGAGTAAGGTCTTATCATTCATAGGTAGGCATGCTGGATATAATCAAATTTTCATTAATCTAGATGACATTCATAAGACCGTCTTCAAATGCCCTGGAGTTTTAGGCAGATTTGAGTGGGTGGTGATGCCTTTTGGCTTGAAAAATGCTGGGACCACTTATCAAAGAGTAATGAATTTTATATTTCATGATTTGATAGGAAAGTTCTTAGAAGTATACATTGATGATGTTGCTGTCAAATCTGACACATTTGAAGAACATCTAAATCATCTAAGGTAGACATTTCAAAGGATGAGGAGTCACTAGTTAAAGATGAATCCTTTGAAGTGTGCCTTTGGGGTAACTGCTGGTAAGTTCTTAGGATTTTTGGTGCATCATAAAGGAATAGAGGTGGATGCCAACAAAGCCAAGGCTATACTAGAAGCTAAACCCCCAAGCAATAAGAGAGAATTGCAAAGTTTCCTAGGCAAAGTCAACTTCTTAAGAAGGTTTATAGCTAATTTAGCCAGGGAAACTTTGATGTTTTCTCCGTTGGTAAAAATAAAGTCAGACAGTTCGAGTGGGAGGAATGTCATCAAAAAGCTTGTGATTACTTAACTAGTCCTCCAGTGCTCATGCCTCATGTTTCTGGGAAGCCTTTGAAACTTTATATTTCAGCATGTGACTTGTCGATTGGATGTTTGCTGGCCCAAGAAAATGATATGGGCCATGAACAAGCCATCTATTACTTGAGTAGGAGATTGAATGATATTGAAACTAGGTATACTTCTGTTGAGAAGTTATGTTTGGCTTTATATTTTGCTACCATAAAGCTCAAGCATTATATGTTGCCTTCAGAGGTGTTTGTTGTGGCACAAACTGATGTGATAAAATATATGTTGTCTAGGCTTGTATTGAGAGGCAGACAAGGCAAATGGATCTTGGCATTAATTGAATATTGCTTTAAATATGTGCCACAAAAAGTAGTAAAGGGATAGGCTCTAGCAGATTTTCTAGAAAAACATCCATGCTTGCCTGTCAAACCAGATCTATTTGAGGTCCATATGGTAGATATTGAGCCCTGGAGGCTAATGTTTGATGGGTCCAAGACAGATGAAGGAGTTAGAGCAGGTATTGTTTTGATTGCTCCTAACCAGCAAATGCACCAGTTTGCTTATCAGTTGGATAAGCAACATGTGAAGTCTTGTAATCAAACTGAATATGAGGCTTTGATAATTGGACTTGAATTAGCCATAGAACTTAAAGTTCGAAGATTACAAGTTTTTGGTGACTCTCAATTAGTTATCAAGCAAATAGAAGGGGAATTCAAATGTGTGAACAAAACTTTGGAAGAGTATTTAACTGAGGTCAAATGGTTAACTAGTTTCTTTGACCATATCACATTCACACATAGGTTTAGACTGGAGAATAAAGAGGCTAATGAAATGGCTCAAGCAGCTTCTGGACTAAAAATACCTAAAGGGGCTCAGGAAAGGGTGATTCGAATTCAAAAAAGAAATTTTTCTGCACTTAAAAATAGGTGTAGGAATTTCCTACCTATTCTCACTTTGGATGTGACAGAAGAAGATTGGAGATTCCCTTTAATAAAGTACCTATCGAATCCCAATGAAAAAAGCAATAGGCAGATGAGGTTTCAAGCCTTAAACTATGTTGTCATGGGAGATCATTTGGTATAATATAAAGTCATTAATTATTAAAATAAAATGTAAAAAACTCAGTTTATAGTGATTTAAAAATATGAAATATATTGCATCATACTTAAAATTTACAAAAATTGATCAATATTTATTTTTAACCCAATAAATATGATCATGGAAAAAAAATATGCGTATCGGTAAGTTTTTTTCAAATTGTGCGAAAAATAAAAAAATTCACGGTTCCGGTTACCGCAACCGTTACACTACGGCCTTTACACCCCGCAACCGCAACTGCGTCACCGCCACCGTTACGGCGACCGCAACCGCTTTTCAGAACCTTGATGGTATATCATAGGTGATGTCATAGTTGGTGAAAGATCTTTTTGCATGTTGGCATAGAGGTTCTCCAAGAACTAGTCATAGAAAGGCTCCGAAGGGAGTTGGCTCCTTGATCTTTAACCATAGCATAGTATTAAATAACAATATCGAGATATGCATTAATGTTGGCAATACGGTCATATATCAGTCGATATCGGATAGTATTGGGTGATATATCAGTAAATAACGATATCAGAAGTCCAAAATTTCATTACATAACGAACGATACGTTATGCAACAATATTTAGAACCCTATACCATACCAACTCTTAGATCCAATGACAGTATAGTATGCAAACCATCACATCCCTAATTCTTCTTCAAATTGACAACAAAGTGCTTTCTCTTTTCACTCCATTATGTGGACCAGATGATTCCAAGTTTACTATTTATGTAAAGTTTGTTAGAATAGTAGAGAGAGAGGGAGAGAGAGAGAGAGAGAGAAAATAATATGTATGGTATTGAATGAATTGTATTGAATGATTTGTCCTATACAATAGAAGGCCTATATATATAGGTTGAGAAAGAGTATCCTACTAGAAATGTAATTATGAGAAAGAGTATTCTATAAGAGACCTAACTGTGGCAATATTTAATATATCTAGGAAATCAACACTTAATATATGTAAGAATATATACTATATATACATTAACATCTCTCCTCAAACTCAAGGAGGATAAACATCTTGAGTTTGGAGAGAGAAACTAAAACATGAAATAAAACTAAATAAAATAAAAGACAAATAGATTGCAAAATCCGAAATGGAGCGCAAGGGCGCTTGAAATAGATCAGAGGCCGGAACTAAAGCCGGGAGACAATTCATTCTCTTTGTAACTAGACGCGGCTTCTAGATCGAGATCTGCCCCTTGGGAGCTTCGATTTCATCCAAAAAAGTCCATTGATCAACTGGTTCAACAACGCTCTGCAAATTTTAGAGGCAAGTATAATATGATCTCAAGAACAAGATTGTCAACAATGACTGCCATCATGTGTGTATTTCTTCACCTCTGATTGGCACCAATGTCTATGTCTAATATCTTGGGTGACTTATGAGGAAATGAATTAGATTCACCATTCTTTTCAGCATCCTGGAAGATTTGTGGATGGACAACCTCCTTAACTCTTTTTGATCCTTGCATAAAGACGCTTTGCCTTCTAGGAGTTGGTGTGGATTTCACCCTATTTCGAGAGATGTCATCAAGTTTTTTCAAGGAGTGGGTTTCCTGTTTGTGGGCTTCTCCAACTCCTGATTTGCAAACTGACTTGCAAATATTGGACATTATATTGGATTTCTCAATGGATGCTCTTATTTCTTCAAATAGATCAACCTCAGTGCTTTGGTTGCGGTCCAAAGAGAAGTCATCACTATCTAATGTAGATTTTGAGTCTACATATCTCCACCTACACAGATCTTCTTGAATTACGGGTAATAGGTGAGCTTCAGCCTTCTCAAATCCTTTATTTATAATAAACAACTCTTCTGGATCTAGAACTCCTGCACTGGTGAAAAAAGCACTATCCCAAGGTAAACTTTTACGCAAGTTGCTTGCTCTTCCCAATTCATAAAATAAGAGCTTTTGCTCCCTTTGCTCAAGTATTTCTAGTGCATTTTCAGGTTCTCGAGAATTTGTGGTCCCAAACAGCTTGAAATCTTCTTGCTCATCTATTTTCTCCAACACTACCCAAACTTCGTTTAGTTTTGGAATTTATTGGAAATTTGAAACTTGTATAACAATTGTATATAACTGAGATAAACAAACCTGAAAAGAATGGTGAATCTAATTCGTTTCCTCATAAGTCACCCAAGATATTAGACATAGACATTGGTGCCAATCAGAGGTGAAGAAATACACACATGATGGCAGTCATTGTTGACAATCTTGTTCTTGAGATCATATTATACTTGCCTCTAAAATTTGCAGTTCAATGCAAAGTTCTTCCCGACAGTTAATTTCTGCATTTTCTCGTGTTGGCGAGGGGAATACAAACAAAACATCTTCTCCAAAGCTTCCATGATCGGTCTCAAGATCAAGAGGCAAAAACTACAAAATCAAGGATTGGGGACAGAGCAATTGATGTGGCGTTGCATCAAATAAGCATCACCCAATCAAGAATTTAATCAGTAAATCTTCACGGGATTTGACTTTTAAATCTGGATGTGGAAGTAAAACCATTGCTGCCACAAAGTCAGCCCACCTAGAAATTGCAAAATCGAAGGTTAACAAAGTTGTGCATTCTAATGCCACGAGGCTACATAGGGTCAATGCACAAGATTCTGTGACTAGTGCTACAAAAGCCATGATGCTACATAGAGTCAATGCACAAGATTTTGTGACTGGTGCTACAAAAGCAAATGACAAAGTGGGAGTCAACAAGTATAATAGACTTGGAAATGGTAAAGAGAATGTTATGAGTTAGAGACCTAACACCGGAGCTGGAGGCACGGTTTAGCAGGTTCAGATAGTGACAAAGCAAAAGAGTATTGTTCCAAAGGATGCTGAAAAGAATGGTGAATCTAATTCATTTCCTCATAGGTCACCCAAGATATTAGGCAGGATGAGCATGGTGTCAGCAGGACAAAGAAAAAAGATTTCCTTAGGTGCAGACCTTGTCAAAATGGGAAATAAAGTTGTAACCCTTGGATCTGCCTTGAAGAAACTTGATGACATCTCTCGAAATAGGGTGAAATCCACACCAACTTCTAGAAGGCAAAACGTCTATATGCAAGGATCAAAAAGAGTTAAGGAGGCTGTCCATCCACAAATCGTCCAGGATGCTGAAAAGAATGGTGAATCTAATTCGTTTCGTCATAAGTCACCCAAGATATTAGGCAGGATGAACATGGTGTCGGCGGGACAAAGATTTTCAATCGGTTAAGAAGACCCAAAAATCGCCGAAAACAGAGATATAGTGGTTGTAGTTGCTCCTCCAAGAAAGAGCGTTATTGAATCAGTCGATCAGTGGGCTTTTCTGGATGAAATCGAAGCTCCCATGTGAATAGATCTCGATCTAGAAGCCGCATCTGGTTACAAAGACAATGATGATAACTGGTTCAAAATAAGCTATTAGTTCCAGCCAGTTTCTATATCGGTCCGGCACGACCTTAAACTGTTCTGGCATTAGTTCTAGCTAGTTCCTACAATGGTCCGATATGACTATAAACTGTCTCTCGACATTAGTTCCAGCTAGTTTCTATATCGGTCTGGCGCGACCTTAAATTGTTCTGGCATTAGTTTTAACTAGTTCCTACAATAGTTTGGAGAGATAAACTAAAACATGAAATAAAACTAAATAAAATAAATGGCAAATAGATTGCAAAATCCGAATGGGAGCGCAAGGGCACTTGAAATAGATCAGAGGCTGGAACTAAAACCGAGAGACAGTTTATGGTCATGTCGGACCATTGTAGGAACTGGCTGAAACTAATGCTAGGATAGTTTAAACAAGAATTTCAATGCTCTCAAGTCCGATCATCACTTTGTTGTGAAACACGCAATCCAATCACCTTCTTGAAACTTCACTACTCTCTTTCATTGCTCTTATAAATATCCTAAAATCTGAACGGGAGCTCAAGGGCGCTTGAAATAGATCAGAGACCGGAACTAAAGTCGGGAGATAGTTTATGGTCATGTCGGACCATTGTAGGAACTGGCTGAAACTAATGCCAGGACAATTTAAGGTTGCGTCGGACCGATATAGAAACTGGCTAGAACTAATGCTGAGAGACAATTTATGGTCGTGTTGGACCATTGTAAGAACTGGCTAGAACTAATGCTAGGGCAATTTAAGGTCGTGCTGGACCGATATAGAAACTGGCTGGGACTAATGGCTTATTTTGAACCAGTTATCATCATTGTCTTTGTAACCAGATGCGGCTTCTAGATCGAGATCTATTCACATGGGAGCTTCGATTTCATCCAGAAAAGCCCACTGATCGACTGATTCAATAACGCTCTTTCTTGGAGGAGCAACTACTGTATTTCTGTTTTCGGCGATTTCTGGGTCTTCTTTACCCATTGAAAATCTTTGTCTTGCTAACACCATGTTCATCCTACCTAATATCTTGGGTGACTAATGAGGAAACGAATTAGATTCACTATTCTTTTCAGCATCTTGGACGATATGTTAGAATAGTAGAGAGAGAGAGAAAAAAATATGTATGGTATTGAATGAATTGTCCTATACAATAGAAGGCCTGTATATGTAGGTTGAGAAAAAGTATCCTACTAGAAATCTAACTATGATAAAAAGTATCCTATAAGAGATCTAATTGTGGCAATACTTAATATTATCGAGGAAATCAATACCTAATATATATAGGAATATATACCATCTATACATTAACAAAGTTATCCTTCTTCACCCTATATTTTGTTTTTAACCTTATGAAGCTGTGGTTTCTTTGATAGAACCACGTTCCTTTTGCATGCGGCTATAGCTAAGTGTCTAACTCTATTTGTCATAGCTTCCTGCTGTTGCGGCTAGTGCTTGTTAAGTAAGTTGATTGCCCTTGAGACGTTATAGCTTTTGGCATTGGGCATTGTCTGGAGGTGCTGTTGAACTTGTTAAATTTGCATAAGAGAAAGCAAAGATCGAAAGGAAGAAGAAAAAGAGAGGACGACTGAGTTTATTAACACACTAATAATCTTAGGGTTCTCCCCTCTTATACATATTTATAATAAAGACTAAAAAAACTAAGGACATAACTACCCTTAGACACTAATACTTAACACTCTCCCTCAAGTTGATGTAAATATATTTCTCGTGCCCAGCTTAGTAAATACATCAGCTAATTGGTCTTCAAACTTCACAAAAGGCATGCATATTAAACCCTTATTCAATTTCTCCTTAATGAAATGTCTGTCGATCTCAATATGCTTTGTTCTGTCATGCTGAACATGATTGTGAGTAATACTAGTGGTAGCTTTGTTGTCACAATGCAGAGTTAAGGGTGTGAGAATAATATTAGTATACTATATATTATGTGAATATTGTTTCCTATTTAGGATTGGTTTAGGTTTATTTGTTTCCTATTTAGGATTGGTTTAGGTTTATTCTTATTTCCTATTTATGATTAGGTCTAGAATTGCTATATATATCAGATGTACACATTGTATTAAAACAATTATATATACAGTTTTATTCAGAAAGCTAACATGGTATCAAAGCTTGGTTCGAAACCTGAAGGACTTGAAACCCTAGTAGCCATCTCTGATTCTGATCTCTGGTCTCACGAAGTCGACCCATCTGAGTTGGGTACTTCGTCTGGTTGTTTCGTCTGGTTCGTCTAGTCATCGCAGTTCATGATCGCAATTTGTCTGGATCTTTAGTGTTTGTTTTGCTGCCATTGGGTGTTCATTGAAATCGTATTTGTCATTAGAATTGCAATTTGACAACATGTTGACCCATCTGGTTCGTGCGAGGGATCTCTCTCTCTCTCATTTTGGTTCGCGAAGGTCTCTCTCTCTCTCGTACCTCTGTCTGACCTTGTTCTTCTCGCTCGACTTTTGGTTCTCTCTTTTTCTGGCTGTGTCGATTGAAGCCCTTCATCATTGGTCTCTAGTTCTCTGCTTCGACTTGCTGGACTTTACTTCAACTTTTGGTTCTTTGGTTGGTTTCAACCCCTTAGCTTTCTGGTTATTATGATGTCTCTAGCTTCGGATGAGTGTGCCCTCTGCCATTAGAGGGGCCATGTGAAGTATCACTATCCCAAGAAGGGATGTCTATCTGGCTCGTATTCTCAGCAGTCTCGGACCCAGTTTTGCCCTTCTTCTCCAAGTAATTTTCAAGCTTCTGTCGGTTCTATTGTATTTGCTCCAGCTCCTGATCCTAATTAGGCTTCCTTGAGTGCTCAGATTAGTCAGCTTCAGCATGCACTGTTTACCTTCTAGCTATTCCCGTCTTCGTCCATTGTTTCCTCTCTTCATTTTGGTTTGCTTGGGTCTTTTTCAGGCATCTCTTCGTCTGTCTGGATTTTTGACTCTGGTGCCTTTCATCATATGACTCCCCATCTCTTCTTACTTCAAAATTGTACTCTCCCTCCTTTTCCTATTACTGTTAATACTGCTAATGGGTCTAGTATGTCTATTATATCTGTTGGGTCTGTCTTACCGTCTGCTATGTCTGCTGTCCTTATTCCATCTGTCCTTTATGTTTCTCAGTTATCTGTCAGTTTATTATCTATCAGTCATCTTGATGCCTCTGATTTTAATATTATCTTTTCTTCTTTTATCTATTCTGTGCAGGATGTCCAAGCAGTAGATTGGGATTGGCCGTAGAGTTGGAGACCTCTATGTGGTGGAGAGCTTGCATCTACCTATGACAACTTCTCCAACAACTTTTTCCTCTTTTCAATTAGATTCTCTGTCCACTCCTTTCTACTTGTGGCATTCTAGATTAGGCATTTGTTTGCTGACTGCTTATGGTCTTTAGCTCAGTCAAGTATATTGGGTAAAGTTTTTCCTACTGAACTTACTGAATGCCGGGGGTGTAAACTTGTCAAAATGACAGCCTTACCTTTTCGTAAAAGTATTTCTATATCTGATACATCGTTTTCTTTAGTTCATATTGATGTTTGGGGCCCTTCTCCTATTCTCACCAAAGGGGGTTTTGCATACTATGTGTCATTTGTTGATGACTGCACTCGTTACACTTGGGTTTATCTTATGACTCATAAGTCTGATTTCTATCAAATATACCGTACCTTTCAGTCTATGATTATTACTTAGTTTGGGTCTACAATTAAAGTGTTACATTTTGACTTGGGTGGGGAATATTTTAAAAATGAGTTCTATGAGTATTTGGTCTATTTGCGTACCATTCACCAAACTTGTTGTACAGATACACCTGCCCAAAATGGTTGAGCCAACCGTAAACACCGTCATTTCCTTGAGACAGTAAGGTCTCTTCTTCTTTCTGCCTTAGTTCCGGCTCTATTTTGGGAGGAGGCAGTTCTTACTATTGCTTTTCTTCTCAACCGCATGCTTACTTCCCTTCTTTTTGATCGGTCTCCTTATGAGGCTTTGTTCTCCCAAATTCCTAACTACTCCATCTTTCGTGGGTTTTGGGTCTGTTTGTTTTGTCCTTCTTCTCTGCAAAGATAGGACCAAACGTAGTACCCGGTCTGTCCTTTGTGTCTTTTTAGGTTATAGTTCTACTCATAAAGGCTATCGGTGTTACGACCCTGTTTCCCATCGTCTTTATGTCTCCCATCATATTTCTTTTCTTGAATGTCTATCTTCCTTTCAGCTTCCTCCTCTCACCGCCCCAGTTTCCAAAGAGGATTTGGTTCATATTGATCCGTTTCCTTCTGAGGTCCCGTCTAATGAGTACATCTCCACAGTTCCTCTTGAGCTTGTTCCATCTTCTCGTGCTTCTCCTCCGGCTGCTTCTCCTCCTTCGGTTTCTTCGCCTCCTCCATTGTTAGTTTATTCTTGTTGCAAGGCTCCTCCTCTACTGGTTGTCTCCGCCCCTGTTGTTGATCCTTTTGCTTCTGACAACTCTGATCCTGCTGCACACCGATATCCTACTTGAGTGCGTCATCCTCCAAACAGGTTGGATTGGTCTAATACATGTTTTTCTACTTCCTATCGTATTTTTTTGTCTACTATTCATTCTTTTTCAAAACTTTAGTCTTACAAGGAGGCCTGTCAGGATTCTCATTGGATTCAAGCTAAGGAGGATGGGTTGTCTGCTTTACAGAAAACTAGTACTTGGGAGTTGGTTCCTTTGCCTGCCGGTAAGAATTTAGTTGCTTGCAAATGAGTTTACAAAGTCAAGACTTATTCTGATGGTTTTCTTGAGCGCTACAAAGCTCGTTTGATTGCCAAACGTTTCTCACAGGGGTATGGTATTGGTTATGAGGAGACCTTTGCTCCTGTTGACATGATGACTACTGTTCGTACTTTGATCTCTGTCGCTGTTGTTTGTTGTTAGCCTCTTTATCAGATGGATGTTTATAATGCTTTTCTTAATGGCCATCTCACTGAGGAGGTTTACATGCGTCATTTCCTTGGCGTTCACCATTCTTCTGGACAGGTTTGTCGCTTTCGGCGTGCTCTATATGGTCTGAAGCAATCTCCTCGTGCTTGGTATGATTGCTTTTAGACTGCTATTACTGAGTTTGGGTTTCATCCTTGTGCCTAAGACTGCTTTATTTCTTCTCCACACCTCTATTGGATTTGTTGCGTTATTACTGTATATGGATGATATGGTCATCACTGGTTCTGACTCTTCTGCTATATTTGAGGTCAAGCAGCATCTTTTCCGCACCTTTGAAATGAAGAATTTGGGCCCATTGCGGTATTTTCTTGGTATTGAGGTAGTTTTTTCTCCTAAGGACTGTTTTTTCTCCCAAGGGCTACTCTCTCTTAGGCCAAGTATGCCAATGAGGTTATTCATCGTGCCGGTCTTATTAACTCTAAGATTTCTGATACCCCTATTGAGCTTAATGTAAAGCTCATCATTATTGATGGTGTTCTTCTGAATGATCCTACTTTATATCGAGAGCTCGTGGGTTGCTTAGTCTATTTAATAGTTACTCATTCTGATCTTGCCTATGCTGTTCATGTGGTTAGCCAATTTGTCTCTGCTCCTCGCTTCACACATTGGGTTGCCTTGGTTCAGATTCTTCGCTATCTTCGAGGTATTATATTTTAGGGTTTACTATTGTCCTCTACTTCCTCTCTAGATTTGGTGGCCTATGCTGATTCTAATTGGGTTGGTGATGTTACTGATCGCAAGTCCACGTCTGGTTTCTGTATGTTTCTTGGCGATTCCTTGGATCTCTTGGAAAAGCAAAAAACAAACTGTTATTGCTTGCTCTACTGCCAAAGCTGAGTATCGTGCCATGGCTCATGCTACTGCTGAAGTTGTCTGGCTTTGTTGTCTTTTTTCCGACTTGGGTGTCCCTCAGTCTTCTCCGACCTCCCTCTATTGTGACAACCGCAGTGCTATTGAGATTGCACATAACACTCTCTTCCATGAGCGGACTAAGCACAATCAAATTGATTGTAACTTTGTTCGTCAGCATCTGCGGTCTGGTT